GAGCCTATACAGCTTGGAGTAAGACAACATGCATGAAGAGGATGATGTGGACAAAATACTCATTTGCCTAATAATTCTGCACTCCCTGTAGTGATTAATGCCTTTACTACAGATCAATGGTTCCAATATGGGGGAAGTATTAGTAACATTCAACTACTACATTATATTGCTTCACCAAATTAAAATGTTTATTCTACATAAATACGTTCTTTTAGCTAGACTCTGGATGCGCTAGATGAGTACATAGGATGTTTTCCCATTTACTTACAGTGCAACCTTTCTGCTGTGTTATTGTTTGATAAAGCCCAAAATGTTACCAGTGCATAGCAAGTTTAGATTGCAGGCAGACCAGTTTAGAACCAGTTCTCTTTTTTTATCCGTTTTACTGGAATACAACCAGAATGTGGTTTGGCATTTCCTTGCTGAAATAAGAAAGGTGCTCCATGAAAGAGACACCATCTGGATACTAGCATAATCTGTATGTTGTTTAGCATTAATGGTGCCTTCACAGATGTGCAGGTTAACCATCGTGTGTGCACCGATGCCCGTCTCTATTCCACAACAAGCGTTGTGGACTCTGCAAGACTCTGGATCCCTGGGAATTATTACAAACCTTCTTTAGCTCTCAGACCTTTCACGAACTGTTGTGGGGGTTTTAGCATAGCACATCCTTTCTTTTTTTATTTTATCAATGTCCCAAGGTATTCACAGTAAGCATACACCAGCCACCATATGCTCTGAATGAAAAATATGTTCTTGCTGTGGACAAAAATGTGAAGCTTGCCGTTATCATTTTCTTACTTTGGTCTTTGGTGGAACTGTATGTGTATTTGTGCTCAAGTGGCAAATACATCTGTGAGAAGTGGGTTAAACTTCCTCATTCATATATAGCTGAACTGTATTTTTCTAATTAATCTACCATCTAGAGTTTGAGTGCAGTGGCTTGTTTCGCTCAGTGGGGGGCGTTGGTGTGCTCGTGCTGCAGCGAGGAGCGACCAGCGGAGGTCAAGCTGGCGGCCGCAAGGGTGCTGGTCAAATGTACGTCCACCCTGCTGACCAGCCCTCGTCTGCCACTGGGTGAGCCTCAGTAATGTAACAGCCTGAAGTCTTCTTTGATGTGAGAGGCTGCTTGTGGCTGATGACCTTGTGTATGAGTATCTATCTGTCCGTGTGTGTGTGCTGTGGCAGGTCTGTCCACGACAGTTTCACTGTGGAGGAGTCTGTTCGTGCTGCTGCAGGACGAAGACCAAGAAGTCCGAGATTCAGCATCTGACTTCATCTTTAACGTGCCAGCTCGTCTGCTCAGTACAGGTACACGCTAACAGCTGTGCATAAGCATGTCCTTGCAGACTAACTAATATAAACGTGTACCCAGCACTATTTAAAAACTTGGGTGGGTGGATTTTGTTATTACCTGCAGTGCTTAGTGACTTCAGTATCATGCAGAGTGAGTATGTGGGTTATTTTTAACTCCCTGGCCAGTAATAATTACAGCCGCATTTAACTGCTGTTGTTCTGTGACCTATCAGGTCCTCCTGTAATTTAAAAGCCATCCAGAGTCATGGCATGGTTATTCATAATAAATCTGTCAGTTCTTTATCTACTTTTTAAAAATCCTCTTATAAATTTTGCTAAAAACAACAGAAGTTATCAAATAACTTCATAGATGGATTCGTGCTAACAGTCAGTTAGCATGGACACATGTCACATGCAGTGACATCAGTGGGTCAGTGTAGCTGCTGCAGGTCAAGAAATACTGTTGTTCACTTTGAGCCTTTTTTCTTGTTTTTAAGCTGCTTTTAGTTTATATTATGTCAAACAGGTACTGTAAGTAAGCTGAAATATACGGTGGCCCTGAGAGGTTATTTTCACTGCAACAAACAACCCGTCAACAACCTGTCGAATTTCACAAAATACAACACAAATAGAAAAAAATCAACACAAATGAAGTTGAATAAAACACAGTAGAACTAGGAAAAAAACAAAACTTATAAAACAAAAGAAAGTGTTTTTGGAGAAACAACAACATGACGGCGGAAATGAAAGAAACCAAAACACGTGAAGGATCGGACACTTAAAGAAGGGGAGGATTCTTCCGTGTTGTGCGGCAGAACAAGGTGCAGGCATTCACATAATACTGTCGATACACGTTTGATGTTATCTTCAGTTTGGTTTTGTGAGTTTTTGTGCCATTTTTTCTTCTTTC